TGCTATTTGATTGATATACATTGGTTTACGATGTTGATCTGAACAAGCATTGATTGAGCCGACAGACTTTTACAAAAATGAGACCTGAAAAGAGTGACGTCATTTTGAACTTCATGTCTGCACATTGACTGGTTTTATATGGTGTATTCGGTTTGGGTCGCTGAAGCGGCATACAGACCTTTGATCTCATTAAATGTACGCCTTTTACCCAGATACACATCAATCTGTAGCGATCAGGCTGCACGTCTTACGGGTGGCTGTGGATTTGAATGGATTGCAGTAGATTATAGGGAGCAGCGATGTGTCACTCAGGGATGTGCAGCAGATTGGCCGCTGTGTCACAAAGGAGTACGTGCACAATAATGCACATCTGTGCTCCTGCAGTAAAGCCATTAGTCCTGGGGCTGGGGGAACATGCTGTGTGCAGAGGTTAAGCAGCCGCTGTGTACCTGTTCTGCGCTGTCTGGGGCTGGGAGCAGCTATGTGGCAGCCTGCACTGGTGGAGGGAAGGGGGCCGTGTACAGACACGTCAGTCTCTTTCTTGGAGGTACAAACCTTTTTTGCACGCCAGTTCTTTGCTGCTATTTTTTGCTGGTAAGGCGAGCCACTTCCTGAATTTGGCTGCTGACAGAGCTCGGCTCGGCTGGCCACCTCTTGAACATTGTGAGCTCCAGCCAGCGACAGAGGTTATTTTAAGTCCCTGCACAATGGCTGTCTCAGTTACCGAGCTAAAACCAGCGTGCTCCCCACATCAGCCACTTGTTAGCTGATGACAGCTTTCACTGTGATTGACTGCCTCTTCTCTCCCCCCCCCCACCCAAAATCCATAGCTCAGCAAATATTTGAACCTGCTCGAGTTAATCATGAAACTGAGATCTTTATCTCGGAGAGACGTGCAAGCCAGAGTCTCTCACACCCCCCCCCCCCCCCCCCTTGCTCCCTCCCCTCCTCTGAGTACTGTACTGAATTCGCCTTCACTTTTTAATCATTAACTGGATATGAAGGACTAGATTCCACTGCACTACCTCTGGCGACTGATTTCCCTGCAAAGTAACAGCTCAGGCAGTCCTGCCGAAATTTCACCTTTATGGAATTTAATCAACACTGACTTGAGGCTTTGTTCAGCACTGGAGAATTTTGACTTTTAGCACTTTTTTTTGGAAATACAGCACTGCGCAATTTGTACTGGAAATCTTTTTGGATTTATACTTAATCAGGACAATGCACGATATTCTAAGTAAGTCTGTTTTTTTGTTCTTTCATTAGAGTTGCTGTTAAATATCATCAGACCTGTGGCTGTCATGCTTGGATGGCTGATAACTATCTCGGGTCTGAACTGGTTTCTTTATTAAGTTATTTTAATTGTTTGTTTTTTTTAATAATGTAGTGCCTGCATATTCTATGGTGTTGTAGTAAGTGAACATGTACTCGAGTTGTAATGTTAGCTGTGTATTAATAACAGGAACTCTGCACAAAAGGAATTGCCATTTACCAGCTGATTTGTTCAGATGGGGTTCAGCAACCAGCCCAGGCTAGGAGCCAGCAAGTTGCAGAGTGGTTTAAGAGAGTTAAATCCTACTGAACCTGCGTTGGCTGCATTGTGATGTGTTCTGTCTGTTCGGGGAAACTGGAAACATACCGGCCTCTGCCCTAGTGCAGGCTGCTACAGCCAGCTAGACAGGTCTGGTGTGCACACACACACTGACTCCCTACCGGCAGCTCTGCTTTGTCATGTTCTCAGTGCTACCATTTGTGCTGCAGGCAGATCCAGATTCTTCTATTATTCATTTTTATAGTGTATGTGTATACATTTTTGTTGTGTTCTTTGTCACCCAGTTTTTATATAAAAAAAGATATACATCTACAAATAATTTTAGTGTGCAAAATTTGTACATTTCCTTCCTTTCTGTCTCCCCTTTTCAAGCAGAAAGCCCCTAATGCCAGGCCTTTGTGACAGCTGATCATGTTTGCATGTATTCAGTACATTTCTATAGTGGCTTATACAACATACTAGGCTTTTTTCAACCTTTTTAACACGGAGGGACCCTTGAAATAACTTCAGTCTCAGGGAATCTCTGATAATTAATATAGCTTATGGTACATTAGTGTGGTGGTCGATGAGAAGATTGCTCGTAAATTTATGGTCCATAGTAAAAGTCCCCTTCTTACAGATGGCTAAGAAGATCATTGGCTTCAGTGGTTACTTATCTGAGAGGCAGAAACTGCTCATAGAAAAACTCTAGCAACCTATGTAGCAGCCTTTCTCAACCTTTTTATCCCAGAGGAACCCCAAAAATAATTTTTAGGTCGCAGGGAATCCTTACTGAAATCAAATCATTGAGTGGTCGAGGGGAGAAAATGTCCCTTACATTAGTGGTCAGTGGGAAGAATGCAACCCTTGCAGTGGAGGTCAGAATGCCCCCCTTAAAAACAGCTAAAAAGATAATTGGATCTTACTGCTGGGTTGGCCAAGTGGTATTGTCCCTAGAACTAGGTAGGTACTGTCAAATGGCAGGTCATGGAACCCTTAGCAACCTCTGTAGGAACCCCAGGGTTCTCCCAGACCCCTGATTGAGAATGTTCTCCAGAACCCTAAGAATCCAAGGAACCCCCTGGCTGAGAATGTTCTCCAGAAACCCCAAGAATGCATGGAACCCCTGGCTGAGAATGTTCTCCAGAAACCCTAAGAATCCATGGAACCCCTGGCTGAGAATGTTCTCCAGAAACCCTAAGAATCAATGGAACCCCTGGCTGAGAATGTTCTCCAGAAACCCTAAGAATCAATGGAACCCCTGGCTGAGAATGTTCTCCAGAAACCCTAAGAATCAATGGAACCCCTGGCTGAGAATGTTCTCCAGAAACCCTAAGAATCAATGTAACCCCTGTCTGAGAATGTTCTCCAGAAACCCTAAGAATCCATGAAACCCCCTGTCTGAGAATGTTCTCCAGAAACCCTAAGAATCAATGTAACCCCTGTCTGAGAATGTTCTCCAGAAAATAAGTCAATGGAACCCCTGTCTGAGAATGTTCTCCAGAAACCCTATCCAGAATCTGAGAATGTTCTCCAGAAACCCCAATGTAACCCCTGGCTGAGAATGTTCTCCAGAAACCCTAAGAATCCATGGAACCCCTGGCTGAGAGTGGCTGCTAAATAAGGGTTGACAAAGGGCATATTACAGGCAATGACAGTGTAGCTCAGGATGGTTCAGTTGTATGGATTGGTGGAGAATTCAGTAGCAAGCAGAACTTTAGAGTTGAATGTTGGGGCAGGGTTTCAATCCTTTGTTTCTGCAAGTTTTCCCACCCTGCCCTTGTGATTGAAATGAAATGTCTGAGCCAAACACAAGTCCTAAAACCACCCAGGGAATTTGAATTACTTGATAGCAAGGATGAATGTGATGTAAATGAGGCTTTGTATCCAAGAAGAGGTTAATCTCCTGCTACAAAGTGATGAGATTTTGCCTATAGAGTTTAGCATCTGCTGTAAATTGGGTTTATCTTTGAGGGTTTGACTTCCTTACCTGGCTGAGCAGTACAAAGATATCAGCAAGGTAACAGTGCCTTTCATATGGAGTTGGCGTGGGAATTTTTCAAGCTTTGTTTGACATGAGTTAGTCATTGCACCTTGAGGAAATGACACCACTTTGTGTTGGAGATAATGCTTGAACAGTGGAGAGCAGAATATGGAAATCCATGTGTTTGTGTCAAGAATGCCTTGTTCCAGCTCGTCTGGTCAGCTGTCTGGCTATTTGCATGACATCATGTTAGTGGGACATTGCTGCATGTCGCTGTGCCTGCTCTTCACACAAGAGAGGAGATTGTCAGTGGTACGTGCTGCAGCCGATCAGCTCAGCAGGCTGCCAGCAGTGGAATGTACCATTCTGCATGCTCATAAAAAAGGAATCGCATTGTGCCAGCTCCTCTGTCCAATGCAAGGAGCCCCATGAAAAGCCTTTTTATTACAGGCATTTTCTGGTCCCGTCCAATGTAAATCACATTCCTCCGGTGCTAATGTGAGCATAAGGTTGGTGTGGAAGAGACGGACGGAGACAAAGGAGTGGCCCTTCTTTTAGTACATTCGATTGGACGGCTCGGATGATGTAATAGGTTTCTGTGCAGCCCCTTAAAGGTTTTAAAATTAATTCCAAGACAGCATTTCAAAGGAGCTCTAGGCTGTATTACTTATCTGGACTATGTGCAACACTATGTGGCGTGTCGATGAAGGCAACCCGGATTATGACAAGTTAGACATACATTACGAGGCAGATCTGATTTTCTATATTGAGATGGATGCACCAGGTAACAATGCAACCTTTTTTCTGCACTGGAATAGCATGAGATTTACGTGGTGTATGATGCATGCATAAAGGGATTGCTTTTATAGTACTTTTTTCATTTGATCAGCTGATGTATATCTTTTAAAAAAAAAAGTATGTATATATAATATAATGTACAGTGTAGCTCTTTTGTCCGTGCTTGTCATACATTTGGCAGTCTTTTGTTCAGCAGTAGCTCAATGATTTGGCACTGGATGGGATCTTCACCTTGCTCCTCTAGTGGGTTAATTGCATTGCATATTGTCTTTCATTGTTGCTACACTGGCACAGAGACAGCTTGCGTGATATTAAGGCAGATTAAAATGTGGTATTTTATACAGAGATTAGCATCAGACACATTTGGGTCACAGATTGTTGCTTTTAGCAGTTTGACGCGTTTTCAGGGATGAAACACATGCATTCATTTATCTGGTCTTCAAAGTACTTCTTTCTTCAGGCTGCATTTCGTCACCTCTTTTGCAAGTCAATGAAGGCTGACTCTGCCTAGCAACATAGTGCATTGTATAGGTCCTGATTCGCTAATTGGAGTTACTGTGCAGAGGTTTTTTTTTTTTTTTATTTCTGAGAAATGTACTATTATTCAATATGTTCTAGATTTTGCAAATATTTTGTGACTTGCAGCTTTTAGAGAACAAAATTAATTTTGTGTATTTTCTCTTTCAGCACTGCCACCAAAACCTCCCAAGCCCAGTCCTGTAATAAACAACGGTACTAATCACAATATGTCTCTGCAAGATGCTGAATGGTACTGGGGCGATATTTCAAGGTATGCCATTGTTGATGTCATATTTGCTTGCAAATAATATCCATCCGTGCCCTGTTTTTTTTTTTTTTTTTTTTTGTTTGTTTTTTTTTTTTTTGGCGCCAGGCTACAAGCAGTACATACTTTACCCTTATGCACAGTATTGGGTCCTTGAGTTTGGCTAAAAGCCCAATTTACCTACAAGTCATGTTATTTTAGAATTTGTATCTAGCAACTGTTCCTGCACTCCAGATTCCACACAACACCCACTTATGATTCAAGTGTCAGACTACTTGACTGCAGCTCCAAATACTTTGAGATCAAATGAATAGTCAAAAATAGTTGTTTGAATGGAGCATATTAGCCGGCAAAAGGCGATATCCAGTTGCAGCATGTCTAGCCATGTTTGTGGGAGGTTTTTCTTTTCTTTTTTTTTTTTTTACTTGTGCACTTTGTCGTCTTGACTTACATATGGTTCTATTCTATATTGTGAGCTCTGAAATTGTTTTAGTAATAAGTGTTCTCAGAAATATATGCACTGTAGTTATAGATTTATAAATTACTCTTTTGTTTTCTCCAGGGAGGAGGTTAATGAGAAGCTACGTGATACCACTGATGGTACCTTCTTGGTACGAGATGCATCTACAAAAATGCATGGCGACTACACACGCTTACACTAAGGTGAGAAGGCAGGATCTGCATGTACTATCTCAGTCAGCTGTCCAAAGGTCATGTCTGTATTATTCAGGACTTCATTTTAACCCTAGGATGTTTTGTTTTTTTTCAGGAAAGGGGGAAATAACAAACTTATCAAAATCTTTCACCGAGATGGAAAATATGGCTTTTCTGAACCATTTACGTTTAACTCGGTGGTTGAACTCATTACCCACTACCGAAACGAGTCTTTGGCCCAGTACAACCCAAAGCTGGATGTTAAGCTCCTGTATCCAGTATCCAGGCTACAACAGGTAGGGAACGCTTTCAAGCATTCCACTGATTCTGCTGTTCATGATTACTTTGTTTCAAAATGTTCCCCTCTGGAATAATTCATTAATGGCCTTGTGTGTTTGTTTTTTTTGCAATAAGGATCAAGTAGTAAAAGAAGACAGTATAGAAGCTGTTGGAAAGAAGTTACATGAGTATAACTTGCAATTCCAAGAGAAAAATCAAGAGTATGATAGACTGTACGAGGACTACACCAGGACATCTCAGGTAACATGCGAAATAGTAATTATTGCCTTACTTGTCCCTTAAAGAGCTTCTAGGGGATTTGAAGGATTGGTAAATGCCTGCTGGCATAGAGAAAGAAGCCCCTGAAAACTCATGACTCCCTAGTGAGGCCTTGGCTCTCTGTGCCAGTTTACCATAATGCTTTTTTGATTCTTTCAGGAAATTCAAATGAAAAGAACAGCCATTGAAGCATTTAATGAAACCATTAAAATATTTGAAGAACAATGTCAAACGCAAGAGAAGTACAGCAAGGAGTACATAGACAAATTTCGCCGTGAGGGGAATGATAAGGAAATTCAGAGGTATGCAAGCCACTGGTTTATTTTACTCTGGCGATAAAGACTGAATCTTAGAGTTTTGAATGGGCATTGTTGTTCCTCTAAAGGATATTGAAAGATGCAAATGCAGGGACTTTGATTTACAAATGACCCCAACCTAGTCATGTATTGTGATTTGCTTTTGAAAAGAGAGTGAACTTCAAGTAGTTGAAGTTCAGGAACAAGCACCATGGATGCTGCATCACAAGTGCACAAAGATTCCTGCACCTCTAATAGATGGAAGTTCTTGTTAAAAAGAGTTGTTCTTTTCCAATGATACAAGTCCTAAAGATGCAGAACACTGTGTTCTCACTTGAAAAGGGGGCCTTTACAACCAGGACAAGTGTTTGCTAATCTGTAGAGTAATGTGGCACTTTGAAGGACTCTGAAATTTTGCTACCCCTTTATCTAGCTAAAAACAAAGACTTCACCTAAATTTACCCCAAACCCGCACGCTCCCCCCTGCAGCTTGCCTTTTACTTTATTCCTGTAACAAGAAATGGCTTTTATTAATTTCTGTCACATCATTGCCATGCTAGTGGAATTCTTGCTGGAGCAGCTGCTTGGAGCTCAGTTCTTCTCAATTGATGCAGACATGCCTCTAGAACGTCACTTCCCTTATAGCCTTTTCCATACACTGTGTGGACAGGCCCCTGTCAGTTAAGGGAGCAGCATTGCTTTGCTTGAAAAGAAATCACTGTAAACATGTGGAGAGGGCCAAGGAGTGACAGAGATGGGTGGGGTTCTGACAACACTGCTTGGGATTTCAGTGCACCAGAGACAGTGTGTTGTCAGCTCAAATATGAAGAAGCACAAATGATTTATAGCAGATCAACAAATACTTGCAGCATTTTAAAGGGGATAAACACATGGGGAATGTGCATGTATTTCAAAGATGTTCTGAAGTATTTTTTTGTTTCCTAGACCTACACATTAACCAGTTTCTTTTTCTCCCAGGATCTTGCACAATTATGAGAAGCTGAAGTCCCGAATCAGTGAAATCGTTGACAGTAAACGTAGACTTGAAGAAGACCTAAAGAAGCAGGCTGCAGAATACCGCGAGATTGACAAACGTATGAATAGCATTAAGCCCGATCTCATACAGTTGAGGAAGACCAGAGACCAGTACTTAATGTAAGGATCTTATATTCATTTCACTTCTTTTAAAGTATAGGATTCTTCCTGTGAAAGGAACATAGGTTCACCTAATTTTTGTTGTTCTTTGTTTCAGGTGGTTGACACAAAAAGGTGTTCGACAGAAGAAGCTAAACGAGTGGCTGGGCAACGAGAACACAGAAGAGTAAGTGACACTAAGACATTAGGTGTATAAATCCGCACTTTGCAAACTTAGCAGTATCTCATGACAAATTGAAATTCCTGGCTGTTGCATAAATGTCATGTCGTAGCTTATTTTAGACTTCAAGGTTATCAAATTGTGTGACTTTCATTTGACAGATCGCTGTGCAGTGATAAATCTTACTGGCCTAATTGGGGCAGAAAGATTTAAAACTGAAACAGATTCTGTTTTAGTTTTTCGGTACAAGGCATCAGAATCAGAAAGTCAAATTGCAGCATTTTATTCCTTTTAGAACATCCCTAGAATGCATTTGAAAAACTTCTGACTGTCATTTGCATTAATGTTGATTTGTACATGAGGGAAAAGCAGTTCAAACTTAGACGAATAGGAAGAGCAGAAGTCAACCCAGGTGAACACTGCTCCACAAGATCCAAATCAAAATTCAAACAATGCAATCCAATTTAATCCAAACTGCTTTGAAAGTGCAAATCAGAAGCATGAAACAGTCATATACACAAGCCCTTAAATGTTTTGTAAACCTCAGACATGAAATATGAACAAAACCTGTCCCTCTATAGTGTGTGCTTGTCTCAATTAAGAGTATTAAGTGTCTTTTGTGTCTGCTGCTTCATTCCTCTGCTATCAGCATGAATCGCTTCTGACAAGTTTTCATGACACCAAGAGAAAAATGGTGACAGAAAAGGGAGCTCCAGCAGATTGACAGCCTCAGCTCTGTTCATGTGAGCTGTATGGAGGGGGGTGTGTCCCTTCCCTCCAATCATCTCTCAGAGCTCTCCTCACTGTAACTTCAGCCTTCTGCCCCCTATTCTCTGAACTCTCAGACAAACTTTAAAAATTCAGCACTTTTTGAATGGATGTAGAGGAGAGAAGACTGCAGATAGAGAGGTACAACTTATGTAGGAGGATTTGCTTCGACTCTGGCCAATCACTTCACCGGATCTATATGAAGGTTTACAGCTACTTTAAGCTGTCCAAGGAATGAGTTTAAATTCAAAGCAAGCTCTCTGGATCTTCATATTATTATGTGCTGCTAAAATCCTAAGTTCTTACTTGAATGGTAGTACTTCACAGAGCAGATTTATATAACTTTGGTTTAGGACCTCATATAATTCATAGATACAGAAAATCTAGAAAATATTTTTTTTTTTTTTTTTTTAGTACTGCTTCATTTGGTTAATTTTTTTTATTTTCTCCATTCTAGTCAGTACTCCACGGTGGAAGATGAGGACTTGCCTCACCACGATGAAAGAACATGGAACGTAGGAAACATTAACAGAAGTCAAGCCGAGAATCTTTTACGCGGAAAGCGTGATGGTACATTCCTTGTGCGAGAGAGCAGCAAACAAGGGTGCTATGCCTGCTCTGTAGTGTACGTATATTTATCAGTTGTACCATACTTTGATGAATGGCTAACAAGTTTTATTTTTCAATAAAGCCAAGCAATAGAAAAGTGTTTAGATTTAAAGTTGAATGGAGTGTACTGTCTCCATAGGAAGTGGGTGAGACAGGAATTACCAACAGCATTAAAGAACCGCATCCAGATTCCTGGAAGTGTTTTATTGCCGTCTATCCAATCGAGAGCCTTTCAGTCACTTCCTATTCCTTTTGACCTCTATCAGCAGGATCTGAAGTACCCTAGGTTCACACCTAAGCATTTTCTGCAGCATTTTGCGTTTTGCAGAAACGCAGTACAGTCCATTTAATATGATTGCCAATGGGACAGGTTCACATCTCAGCATTTTCACCCGGTGCATTTTTTTTGGAAAGGGTCAGGGACCTTTTTTAATGCAAAACGGTGCATTTTTGGTTCTGTAGACTTGGGAACGCTGCAGAAAAGCATGTAGTGCTTTTTGCTGCGTTTTTGCAGTTAAAATTTGCCTAGCAACAAGGAAAAAAAGTGAAATTAACAACAAAAAACGCATAACAAACGTGGCTGAAAAGCAACCTGCATAGGTGTGAATGTAGACTAATGGGATATCTTGGTGGGGACACAGACAGTTGTAAAGATCTGACAGTGAATCTAAGCCTGCCCCTACTCTGTCCAGATGCACAACAGTATGGCTAGAGTTGAGCTTTAAAAACATAAGAAAGGAAAAGGACATTTACCCCTGGTTCAAATATATGCGGTCGTGTGGACTGCATTTTGTGTGGGCACGAGAGCCTATTCATTTGTGCAGGCTTTTTGATGTCATCAATAACAGGGCAGGGCCAATAGTCCTGCATGGTACATAAGGTCACAGAGGGACCACCCACAAGCAAAAGCATCAGAAAGAAGAGTTGAGTGCCAGCTTTTGGGAAGAGGTTGTAAGTGTTGTTTCCTGGTAGCCAATGCATAAGTGAACATTTACCCCTGGTTCAAACATATGCGGGCCGTGTTTTTGTGCGGGCACGAGAGCCCATTCATTTGAATGGACTCCCATGCCCCGTGACACGCAGGGATGAAGTCCCCGCACTTCTTCTGAAAACGCAGCCTGCACGGGAACCTCCGTTCCCAGTACAGTTGCCTTTTTCCAGTGCGGGCGGCGTGCCATTAGAACTAATGGCACCTGCCCGTGGGTCCGCATTCCTCTGTGCGGGTGGTGCACGAATTTTAGTGCGGATCCGCAGCCGCACCACCAGCACAGATGTAAACATAGCCTTAGGGTTTGGTTTACTAAAACTGGAGTGTTCAAAATCTGGTAGAGCTGTGCCATGGCAGCCAATCAGCTTTTAACTTCAACTCCTTCAGTTGAGCTTTGATAATAAAAGATGAAAGCAGATTTTTTTTTTGTGCAGATCTGCACCAGATTTAGCACTCTCCTGCTTTTAGTAAATCAACCCCTTAGTTTTCTAACTTGAAAGATGTAGTTAGAAGTGGGACCCAATAAACACATTTCTCTTTCAGTTTAGGTCAATCATGCTGTGTGTTTCCTTAAATTACTATAGTACAAAGGTTGTTTATAGATCTTTTTTTATTCCTTTGCAGAGCGGATGGGGAGGTCAAGCACTGTGTCATAAACAAGACCCTTACTGGCTATGGATTTGCAGAACCATACAACTTGTATAATTCTTTGAAAGAACTGGTGCTACATTACCAACATACGTCACTTGTACAGCACAATGACTCTCTGAACGTCACACTAGCATATCCAGTATATGCACAGCAAAGGCGATGAACACCCAACAAACTCTCCTTCATCGACTAAGCTGATGCCGGTTTCGGCAAAGGGATAAAATAAAATCCTAAAGCTCCCTCGTCCGCCTACTTCACAAGATTGAGCTGCAGTATCAAAGCTACCTTCAGATGAGAAAAGAGCTTTCTTTCGCCATGGAAGCAGGAGATGAGTGTTAAGCTGTGAATGTATGTTTCTAAGCTATTGTGCTTGCTTTGAAAGAACCCAAGAAGCACAGCAACAGAAAGATATGGTATTACAAGCCTATCTCCCGGGCCTGCAGGTTCCTCGAGGCCTTCACCATGGTGCTTGTTTACATTCTTTTGAAGCTTTACCAGCTTGAATGTTGGTCACCGCAGATCCAAGAAGCCAAGGTGTCTTTTTGTTAGTAGAGTACTGATTTCTTTTTTTTGGGGGGGGAGGGGAGGGTGGGGGACACAAAACGTTCCATTGCAGCCTTTGGAGGACTTGTGGCCTAGCGCTCAGCTGATCTACCCACACAGCCTTGCAGATTGTTTCATTTTCCTAAACGAAAACAAAAATATGTAGCAGAACGAACGGCACTTTCATCGTTTCTAAAGAGAAATCTGCATAAAGGACACTGGTTCACAATTCAGCCACACCAAGTGTATGCAGCAAAGTGCCAGGAAGTGTTTTATTGAGACTAGTCTTGAATCAAATGAACCTATTTAACATGGATGGTGACAAGATGGAATCAGACTATAAACAGTATATATATATAAAATATATATATATATATATGTACATAGCAACTGGGGAATAGCTATCAAAATGGAACCTACCAATACCAAACTGTCTACTTTTTATTTTGCTGACTGCTAAATCCTTAATGCTATGCAACATCCATTTTTCTTTAAGCTGTTATTTTTTGTTGTTGTTTTATACGTATCAATAACATACCGTTCTATTTGTGAAATGTTACCTTTTTTGTTATAGTTTTGTTGTGTTTTTTTTTTTTTTTTTGTTTAAGAATTGTGCAGTATGTTGTGGGAGAGAGGAGAGTGGTCGAAGTGGAGAGAATCAAGGAACTTTAAACAAGAGCTATTTTACCATACAATGTATAGAGAACTTGGTTTAAGCCCAAGATTAAAGAAGAAAAAAAAAAAGATTGAGAGTTCATTACAAATATTTGATTTAATGCATTGTTGGGCAGTGCCTAATGAGCTTCAAAGCTGCTTTCTTGATAAAGAAGAAAAAAAATAAACCTTTAAGATATATAAATATATAACAAAGAATCAGAGTTTGACAGTGTTGTATAATGGTTTTGTTTCGATTAATGGTACTTTTTTTTTTTTTTTTTTAATTTCTTTTGGTAATGTGCTTAGGGCATTCTCGTCCTCTGTCCTTACTGCTTCTAACTGGGTAGAAAGCACGCACAAAAAAAACTTTCTGCCTTTTTCCCATTCATTCAGCAAGATGAGACCCATCATTTCAATGTGTAGCATGCTATTCCTGCCATAAGATGATGTCACTGCAATGGTTTTAAAAGAAACTTAACGTGTTTGGAAAAGGAAAGGGGCAATTTGGGACGGCATGGCTATAGAGTTGGTTTTGTTTATTCAGTGCCCCGATAAATTGTCTTTTTTTTCTGAATCAGAATTTCTGACCTCCAGTTTTGGTTTCCAAAGATTTTAATGGAATGACTTCCAAATGAGTGTGACATACTGTAGGATACAAAGTGTCGTTGGCTGTACCATATCATTTTACCGTTTTTAGCACTTTTAACCCTGCTGTGACACAGGTCAATTTTTTTTTTTTTTTTAATCTTTGTTCTGATTGGTGGCTGTTTCAAGCAGTGGTACACTCTGCTCAAGTTTTGTATTCTATAGTATTTGCAACTGCCTGCCTTGTATTTACTGACACAATATAATTTTTTTTTTTGGCTATTTGATTACCGTACCTTAGCCACTGTACATTGCTTTACACGTAAAACCGGGGTGAATAGTACTCCACACAATGATATTCAGTTATTGTGCATTGTCGGTGCTCTAGGACTCACAAATAGCTTGCAAACTTTCGAGGCCTGGACACAAACGTATTTATACAAACTACATGGCGTATTCTAAAAAAAAAAAAAAAAAACTTTTTACTCTGGGGTCTGAGCATTCTCAGACTTTTTTTTTTTTTTTTAATTCCTACTCTTGTAACACCTATTTTTGCTTCCGCAGTCTGTAAATCAGTTGCGTGTTAATGCCATCGTGTTAAACTTTAAAACCTCTAATACTTTATTTTTTCATTTCTTCAGAAATGTTAAGTGCTGGAATCATATGGCCTGGTTATTGTATGCGTGAATAGTAACCCTGTATCGTTTCGCAACGATAAAGGCAGATGTTTGGTACTTTGATAATCATAGACATTTTTGATAATTTAAGGTTTTAAGACAATTATTTTTCATATGCAGTTCTCCGTAAGACTCTGGGAAAAGCATACTTGATTTTTTTCCCAATTTAAGCCATATTTTTCCCCTTTTTGGTATAGTTTATTTTAATCTCTCATACCGGTAATAGTACATGAATAGCTGAAAGGAAGTTACTTTAAATTTATAGAAGATCCAAGCTTATGAAATGCACTGTTCATTCTATTTTAAGGTACACCATGCTGATTTCTGAAGCACAACACTATACTCAATCGTTTCAGCAGAGACTTTTTCAATGACGTGTATAATGTGTTTGCTAAGGGTAGGGAGATCAATTGGCGGAGAGCAATTTTAAAGGGCTACTAAAAGTAAAATACCAGTTGGGACGCTGTAATAAGACATCTTACATTCAGAAGCAGATTCTCAGATTTACAGAATGTCACAGATCATTAACCTCTTAATGTGTTTGAAGCTATTGCTGTCTGTTATTAGCTAACTACTGCCTAGAAGAGGCTGAATACAGTGTCTTTTAGTGGTTTTACAGACAGTTTAACTGTATTTATGAATGTAAAACAAAAACTTTTTTATAAAACAACTTGTGTTTTTACATTTAGTAGTCCTTTTAATCTATGAAATCATTGTGAATATGCATGAGTAGTTTTCAGCAATCTAGCCATAAGCTGGGCTACGTGCCCCTTGGTGCTCAACAAGTATCAGATGTTCAAGTTTTAAGCAATTTCTGGAGTGCCAAAGCTCACTGATTTTTTTTTGTTTTGTTTTGTTTTTTTCTTATTGTAAATAACTCTTAAAGCTATGTACCTAAAATGTACGGTAAGCTATATGAAGAGTCAAGTTGGGTTGGAACAGAAGATATCTAAATTGTACCATTACAAATGGCAAAACTTTTGTCTTTATTTCATATGCAAAGAGCATGGAAGTCAAAGCAAGCAATCTGATTTCAAGGTTTTGGGGTTTTTTTTTTTAGAGCAGTGGAAGTGGATTTTTGATTTGATATGGGTATTGCACACTGCTTGTTCCCTTACGTGCTTACCTAAGAGATTTGGCTTCTTCAGTTTTTGTAATGGTAAAAAATTGGCAAAAATAGATTGTTCCTTTTAAACGGTACAGTATACGGATTGCCATATGTGGTGCTAGCAGGCCTTTTGTATGTAAAGATGACTCTTTAGATAATGTGGCCTGTTTCATGTATGCACTTGCTGTCATATGATGCACCTTTGCTTCATGGCATAGTGACTTTATTGTATCCTGGTGAACAGATAGGTTCGCTATCTTCATGTTGTATAAGAAAAGTATAGTTTGAAAGCTTTCCTCACACCACTGCAGTTTTTTCTTGTTTCAGCTAAGTTGTCTCTCGTCCATCTTTAGACAGACTTCTCCCAGGTGTGTGTGTAGGTGCGTGGGTGTAGGTGTGTGTGTGTGTGTGTAGGTGTGTGTGGTGGAGGGTCTAGCTGACAGTTAATCAGAGAGCAGAAATAATTGATGGATCAAATACAATCTTATGGTTTAAATCGACGGCTTGCACCTGTTTCCAGAGATAACTTGGCTCGGAGCATGTTGCGTGGAGTGATTTTTGTATACTACCACAGATTTCTTCAGTTCCAACTCATGTCTAAAATGTTTACATGTATATTTGTGAATGTTTCTAGAAGATCTCTCATATAAAGGCACCTCTGTATTACACAGTGAGCTGGACTTGACATCTCTATTAATTCAAATCTGGGCAACTGTCTGTCACCTGTAGGCCCGGGTACTCATGGTATTTTGTGTTGGTCACATCTTTTTGTGTGGTGTTCAGGTTCTCTTTGGAACTGAGCTGATTTTGTGCTCATTTCCTGGCAGAAGCAAAACATGCCAAATTTTATATCAACAGCTGAATGCGTCACTCTTTATGAATTGCTATGTCAATAAATTCATTATTACATGTCATCGTACGACTGCATTAGCTGCCCAATGTGCTGCTATTAATTTTTTTTTTTTATTATTCCTATTTCAAACAGAAATTCTGTTCAATGTTTATACAACATTAAAGAAAATTAACTTTGTTAAACACCATTAATACTTTGGTCTTTTGTTTGGGGGAGGAAAGGATGGTTAGTAGTAATTTGCCTTTACAAGGCAATTTAATAAAGTTGTGCCTCTGAAACTTTGAGCTATAGCTTTGATAAAGCTCTGTGTCTCGTTTTAAGTTGCTTTAAAACATTGTATTAGACCTTCAAACAAAATAAAGATTGTTTTGAAAACTATGGCATCGTCTGTCCGTTATTTTGTAATGGCAGGTATGTCCTCTTTCAGGGTCCCTGCACAGAGCACCGATGTATGAACGCCAGATCTTGGGCAGAAAGTTCCTGTCCAAAGAAACACGAATATGGTCCTTATAGTGTGCATGGGAGCTTATAACTCCCCCCTTGCAAAATAATATAGGGAAGGTGTGATTTACACGCGTATTTGTGCATAAACGTGAAATATTGACCAATAATGCGCGTGAGCTAGCATGCTGATTCAAAGTCATGTGTCCTAAAGTCAGTGGCTTAGGTCATGTGACACACAGCAACTCTGAACACTGGGTGGTGATGTCTCACTGTGACCACTGCTGTGGTGACATGAT